ATTGTCCAGCGGTCTCAAGAAAGGGCTGCTGATCTCCAGTTCTTTTTCCTTCTTCATACCTACATCACCTCCATACCTATAGTCAACATCCAATTATGATTAATTATTTTATTAGATAAGATTTAAATGTATGTTGGTCTAAAAGGTGCAATTATTTTTCTGCAAGGAATTAGGCTTTTTAAATATGTTTTGGACTATCATGGTGCAGAGTTTAAAGGTAAAACTTTCAGGGTAAAATCCTAGAATAAATGGAGTTTCAAAAACATTTCCAATCCACCTTCTAGATTATGAATTTTAATCTTCTGTATATCCTTTATTCTTTGACTGCTGTATTCTTGGGGTACTTTATCTGCAAGGAGTAGCAGAAATTTCAAATCTAAATGCTGTAATCATAAGCTTTAAAATAATTATATTTAGTTGACTCACTTTGAATATTATGACAGAATTGAGTAGGACTTCAGTATTCTGTACAGGAAACCATTGTTTTTATTTAAATTAAATATTGTTCCTCCTAGATATTTAAATGGATACTTCCAGAATGATATACAAAATGCATCATTTTGTCATTATTAACTAAATGGCTCTTTTCACAGAACATAGTTACCCACAGTTAATTTTATTATGGTTTACTCAGTCTACAGTATTTTTATGGAGCCATGCAAACTGAATCCCAGGTTGTGACCTGGGGTTGTGTATCATGCCACACTAAATTGTGATTGGCCAGTTTGTGCATAGAAAGCCAATTTAAGATTTGAATGTGTGTCTTTGTGACGTATCAGCATTCCATAATTAATTAATTGTAGGTTATCATAGTTATCCCACTTCAAATATTTTAAAAGAATAAATGTTGCCTTTCATAGATTCTGGTATGGTGCTTGGCATAAGGAAGAACACTTCATGTTAATGTCTGTAAATCTCACTTTCTACAGAAAATTAAAGGGAAAATATGTCTTTCTGATACACTTAGATTCTACTTTTTGTTCAGGAAAAAATACACAATACATAATGCTACATTCTCCAATTTCCTCAGAACACATGCCCTGTAATAGATTGAGCTGAACAATCATAAAATCATCTGATGAACTTCCATGGTTGAAGATGGACTTGAATTTGTGTCCCTCAGGTCTAGTTAAACCACTATATCACACTGGTTCTCTGTGGCTTTCTCTCCCTCTTGACAGACACCTCAAAACAATCTCCTCAGTACACTAAATATATAAAATAATTTAGCCTTCTCCAAAATTGCTCTTTAAAGCCATTACCATTGTTGTAGCACATTTTCAGAGAATAAGCTATAGAGTCAGAGAGATCAAGCACTGCAGATTAAGTTAAACATAAGCATGTTATCTGAGACTTTGTTTATTTTTTTTAAAAGCCTATATATTCCCTTTTTACTGGACAATATTTAAGGTACCATAAACATAAATAAAATAGAAACTATCCTATAAATATGAAACAGTACTGTAGTAAAGAACAAGCGATAGCCAATCTGAAAAATATAAAGAACTTGCAATTACAGCAATTTGAGGACCTAAAACCACACCAGATTAAGGCAGAATTGTCTAGATTCCACTATAGTAAACCAGAAAGCTAACAAGATGACAGAATACCAATCTCCCTCATAGTTCCTCATCTCACCTTTGCAAGTCTAGATACCCACTTGTGTACAAGCGTGAAGGGCTTTAGGTGAAGATTTCAGGTTCAGATGGGAGCTGGGAAATTAGGTTCTTCTGTATTGTAGAACTATCAGGATCTTTAACATTCAGAACCAAGACTTTCCAAAACCAGCCCCGTAGCAGTTTTGGTCAATGTAATGATGGGTTATATTTTGAACAACCCGTTCAGTGTACCTTATCTCTGTACATCAGCACATTTCTGCCAATCAGTGATCCTTGGCCATCACTGCCATTGGGTTACCAGTACAGTACTGCTTCCTTTTCCCTAACTTACTTAGATAAGGTAGGGGTGTGTTCCCCAATGGGAACACTTTGGTATGATTGCCAACTAGCCTGATACAGGACATTTTGTATGACCCCAAATGGAACCCCATATGTTACACATCACATCTTGGGGGAGCACATAAAGGCAGGCAGCCATCCAAAAGCACTGCCCTCTATTACACCTAAGGAAAGAGATATGGGGAGGGGCAAATGATTAGATAAAGAGAAGGAATGAACCTGTAGGTTGACTTGAGCTCCTGGTAGAAAATCTGATTCTAAATGTAATCAGTGGTACACTAGAATATAAGTGGTGGCAACTGGAAGGGTTGAGGATGGTGACGGGGAGAGCCTGAGAGTTGGTCTGGCCCTGAGAGAGCAAAACAATTTACCTGCATTGTGTTCTTTGGTCTGCTCGTAAGTCCTTGGCCTAGGCGAGTCAGTCCTTTGCTTAACACAGCTCTTACGCTCTCACATTCAGTCTGCTAGCTAAAAATTCTCATTCCTGTGCTAAAAGGATGGCTGAAAGGTTAAGATGAAGGTGCAACTATTTCAGCTCTCTCTAAATCAGACTGTCTTCACTATGACTTTGAAGAACAGTAAGAGTCCTTCTTATATTTTCAGTGGGTCCCTTGGACTCACAAATCTTGTCACATTGTGAGTTCCACAGTCTGGACCGATCCTCTTTTTATCTGATTGTGTAATGGTCTGTGGGAATGACCTTGGGAGACAGGAGGGAGAGCCGCAGATGGGACAACCGGCATATAAAAGATGTCTCAGCCCACAGAAGGGGGGAGGGCATGGGAAACGTTTCAGAAGGGACCCTCCCTAATTTTCCAGAGAGTAAAAGAGGAGGGGAGAAAGACTTTCATTCTTGCAAGATTCTGTTAATGTATCCTTACAATAAAGATAGAGCTAGAACTCCTGGTTGTGGTTCTTGTCTGGACTACCTCATAGGGTTAACAGATTTCTTGATCTTGATCTTCTTAATCTAGCTTATGATCAATTTAGGCCTTCTGTTTGCACAAAAATAATGCACAGATTTGAAGATGCCATATTGGGAAAGGTCCCTGCAACCAAACTTTACTGTCTCTTGCAGTGGAACTGGCTATAGGTGGGTTTGTAATCCAAGAGGTGCTTCAGACAGCAGAAAGGCCTTTTTCGTGTCCTTATACCAAAGGTTTCCTAAATAGAGGAGGGCAGTCTTTCCCCTCGGAACCCCTGCAGACAAACTTTCAGCGGTGGAAGTATTTTTTCCAAATGGCCATGTTTGTGACGGCCTTTAATACCTGATGTACAGTAATGAGCAGTTATTGAGGCAGGCCCACCATGATACAGCAGCAGGCAAAACAGGTGATAAGATAGAATCTGACAAGGAAGGATGCTGTGGTACCCATTGGCCAAACTGAACTGAGACAATTTGGGTCCTCCATTCTGAAGGAAGGAGGGAACACATGAAGAGCACCACTGCGCCTTCCCACTTTCTTTCCAAGAGAAATTGCACTGCCATTGCCCTAACGTGTCATTTGCATTGATCCAGCCTGAGAATTGGCCATTTAATTATTGAGACATCCTGATTAACTCATCAAAGGATCTATTCCATTTGTAGGATAGTGCATAAAAAAGCTTCCACAAGAACGGCAGTTCTGTGATTTAAGTGGCGTAGAATGTACAACAAAAGTTGGTTGAGCTGTAAAAGTTTGATCAAGTAATTTGACCAGCTGCGTAACTGGGATGGAACATCCTCTGATTTTGAGGCTGTGCCTCTTTTTTGCCCATTATTCTGCAGCACTTGAGTCGGACAGAACAGAAAAATTATCGATTTACCTCTTTCCAGATCTAGCACTAAATATTCAATGGCAAAAATTCCATAATTAACAACTTGCTCTCTTTTATGTCGAAAATCTGCTCTCTGAGCCAGCCACCCTTTTCAACCTAACAGAAGGACTGGACCTTCTTAAATGCATTCATGTTTACTGGTTGTAGTAAAGCAAAGCACAGGGCCCATTGTTCCATACTGTCCCGTGCTATTCCTTGGTCAATGCTTGAGACTGTAAGAGGTGTGAATTTCTGTAACAATTGAAGGATGCTTTATGGATGTTTCCAATTAGGCTTTCACTTGAAAGGAAATTTTACATACAATAGAAGATCTTTGCTTTATGTTTCAGGGTCCTTTCCCCTTGATTCAGATCCTTTAGAGATGGTAGCTAGGAATTTACTGTCCAATTAGGAGAGAAGATAAAGCGAGGAACCAAAAAAGTTGTCTGTGGCCATGATATAACACGTTCCCCATCTTTAAAAACTGTCTGCAAAATAATAACCAGAAAATTTGCTTCATCTCCTAAGTGGGCGAAAATAGCTGAAGACAGTTTATTTCATTGTATTATTATTAATTATTATTATTATTATTATTATTTTGCCTAATAGTCACAATCTTGTCTTATTTCTCTGATTTCTATGAGTGTGACAAACTACACTGAGCATCTCACTGGTCATATGCTGAGAAGCTTGAAAAGATATTCCTATTTCCCTTTCAACACGCATATTAAACAACCTCTTTTCACATGTATTTTAATTGCTTAGAACTTGTTCCCAGCTTTATCTTTCAGCTTCAAGGTTGTTGGGTAATCACCTGATTTTCTGATTTGCCATCAGACAGCGCATAATGATTGGAGATTAACAATGAGCATTCTCCCATGAGAAACTATCTTTCAGTTACTGCTTTCTGTAAACTGCGAGAAGCTTGCTCCAGCAGTCGAACTGATGCAAAGATCTCTAACCGACCATTCTCCCAGTTCATATCTTGACACTGCAGACATGAAGCATTGATTAGTTTTCATGAATCTATGCATAGCTGAGGCAGGAAAAACACCACGTGTTCCACAGTGGGCTGTGTGAAGCTAATGCCAAATGTGGTTCAAATCAGCTTTTGATCCATGTCTGATCAAGAAACTGGATCCCTATGATTAGCAGTTCATATTTGAGAACACTTGTGTTGTGGTAAGCAGATTAATCTAAGGACACAATAAAAGAGTCTGCATACTCCCGTAGATACAATCTGCACGTTTAAGGCGTTTATTTCGTTCACAGTGGCAAAGCATCTGTAATTCTTAACACTCAAATTTGCTTTCCTCGTTCTTCCATTTTATATTTGAGATGTCATGAAGAACATTTTTCTATTTACAACATTCTTCTTACTTACATGGACCAAAACGGTGATCTCCAGAGGGTGCTGCTATCCAGAGAATACCAACAAGATTCCTTACTCCCCACTTCATTTTCTAATGACTGATTATGTTGAGGTTCTTGGTCAAAAGGATTGTCACCGCTTGTTTTGATTACTGTGTTGTCTTTCCAGGACATTACATGAACTTACAGACTAGATTTATCCCAATTCTGCCCTTCAACCAGCCCTCCTTCATACTGAGGCTGTTTAGAAGACATACAGAGACAGAACTGCTCGAATGGTGAAGGCTGTGACGTGCCATGGGAAACAGCCAGGGGAGAACAGAATTCATCGCCTTTCCAGCCTTTAAGAAATCTTTCAGATCCAGTGCCTCCCCACCCTCCTTCCATGTTGAATTGCTCTGGGTGTTTACCTGGGGGCTGAGAAAGAAGATCTTGGGATGCTGGGACTTTAGGACTGCAGTTTAAGGTTTTATGAACATAATTACCACCTTAGCTGGAAGACTGAAGTTGTGTAGACACCTTTCAGTGCAGGAAGAGCAGCAATATTTAGGACTAAGCTTAAAGATTGGAAGATCTTGCTGTTCCAAATGAGAAGAGTTATACACTTGTGAGATCTCTCAACAGATTGGCACGATGAACTCTATTCAGATCAATTTCATTAGTGAAAATGAAGCACAAATAATTTATACTGAAATAACAGAAGGTTAAATTTAGCTGCAATGTATAGCCATTATACATTGCCATTTGACTGAAATATGGTAATCTTTTCTTCAAAAGGCTGTATTATTTTACTGTAACACTGAATTATATTCTTCATTACAAGCAGATGTGTTACATATGACATGCATTATTTATAAAATTTGCTTACTCCAAGTGAGTTTCTCCATACATTTTTTTTTTTACTTCAATTTGAAGTGAAATATACAACATAGTATTCAAATGCCTTTGCATTACACGGGCTTTAACATTTCTAAAATTCAAAATGCAACATTATAAACCTTTCTGGAATATTCTGCTAACAGACACTCTGGCTATTTAACCTTCCTTTCCTTGTATAATATACATTTTAATTAATTGGGTTAAATGGCGTGTTTAAAAAAATGGAAATAAATCGTCCCTTGTAACAGTTCTAGCTTTTTTGTCACTATTCTTCACCCTGAAAAGCTGGCTCTTGTTAAATGAGCGGAATTGATAAAGGTGAAGAAAAAAAAATGTGTGGAATAGTAACACTGGTTGCGTCCTGATGGTTTTCGTGCTTCAGCTTTCAGATATGGAGAACTGTATTTATTTACAGACAGGTTTGCCAATTCTGACTTAGCTCCACAGCCATTACTTTAAACAGGTTTTGCCTCCCCTTTCCTCTACAGAGCCAAGTGCATTTCAATGTGCAATGTGCATCTTGCCAGAAGCAACCAATGATTTCCACATCTCCTGATTTACTTACAGAACGTATGGATCATAACCTCTGGGTTTGAGATGACAATACAGAAACTCAACCAGCTCTTTGGCACTAGTGATATCATCACAATGCTCTATTATACAGGGATGGTATTTCCTAGGTAGCAAAGGGAGAAGCCTCTCCATACATTGCACATACTAACATGTGATTGGCTTAAGAAGAAAACAGTAGAAGAAAATATCTTCATCTTCTCCAAAAGACTGTCACACCAAGAGTGTTTCCATAGCCAGTCTTCAATTTAATGACAGATGCCTTCTGCTCTTTTCAATGGGAACATGCGCGCTTTGAGAAGGTAAGATGGAACATCAGGATGATTTTGCTGCTCAATCCACCCTTTGGTTATCATTCCTGAAATAAATTGCATTAGAATCAGTGAAACTGAATGAGGAATCATTGTACTTTGTCAGCCTTTTATTTGCACTGATATCACTGCACTCCATAAATAAGTTGAAAGATCTCTGAGGAACACCATGTCCTTCATCATGATGATGCAGTAAACTAAAAGTAGAAACACTCATTGCCATGGTCCTCAACATACTTAACTTTGCATCTGTGGAATGTTAGGTAGTGATACCAATTGTTTAGGAGCAATCTTCTCCCTCTGACATGATTACACACACCTCAGCTCATCCATCTCTTGCTGTTATCAACTCTAACCAGGATAGCATGAGGAAAGAGTAACCTGTTTTTCTCAATCTCCCACCACTCGTACTTTAGATCATGCAGGGGCCCATCTGAGAAAAGCAGGCTTCTTGCTTAGACCTTCACCTTCTAGTGTATGAAAGGTAGTGGGAATGGATGCAAGAGTGCAATGTGGAGCAGAGAGGAAGGACTGAATACTTAACCAAGGCTAATGGGTGCAGCATTTTTCATGACTGCCAAACAACAGTGTTTCGTGGAGGGTAAAAAACAGTTTAATGCTGAGGAGAGGAGCTGAAAATAAAGCCAGGACTTTATTAACATGAACACAACATTTTTTAGTGAGAAAACAGAATGCAACAAAGATACCTTTAACTTTCCTTCCTCATGTTTGAGACCCAAAGGGAATATGGAACTTTCACTACTTTGTGTCTAAGATAAGACACTTTAGCATGTTGAGTAAAAGCCAGGGTGTAATTTTTTAGCAGGACTAGCCCTATTGTTAGGTAAATAAATCAGGCAAAAGTTTGGGGAAGTTGGGATTGAGGTGGTGATGGCAGGGCAATGGGTACTCGATGGCCTATTGTGCACTTCCCAAGCAATCTTGGCAACTGTGAGGTGTAGCGACAACCTTGAGATAGATTCATCAATCCCTTGGATCAGCATTTTGCACCTTAGGTAGCAAACTCTCTTGCACCCAGCTTAATTTAAATAGTCCTAACTTCTCATATGTAATAGATTTTTTTTTTTTAAACAGAATTTTAATAGACTCAGGTAAACTGATAGAACATTTATTTTAAATCCAATCTTGACCCAACCAAATGATTTCTTAGTGTCAACTTCTGAATGTCAGCAACAGGTTTTAGTTCAATACAATCTATTCTGAACCACCAGATACATTAATCGAGGTTTGCATCAAGGGACATATTTCCTTGCCTCTAACTGTGAAGATTATCTTCCTATAGTGCAAATATGCAGAGTCAGGGGAAATAATACAGTCAAAACATTTATCTTTGTAGAGACAAAACACTGACTTAGTACTTCCAATAAATAAATTTCCAAGTTTCTCTTTTCCACATCACCAAGACATTCTGATTGGAATGAATGCACAGCCCAGCTCTTCCCCCACACCATAAAATAAACAACTGCTAATATTTTTAGATCCCAAATAGGTCCTTTGTCTCCTGAATACTACCCAAATTTTCATATAATTCATAATTAAGGAACCTCAGGGGTTGGGTTCATTTGGGTACTGAGACTGTTAATGTAACTCCTTTTATCTGGTCCAACCCTATTTAGGGCCTTAACATCTTTGAACTGGATTTGGATGCAATCCGAGAGCCAGTGAAAACTAAACAGAAATTTGTTGTAAGCTCCAGATAATGCCTACATACCAGCACTCTGGTTGCTCAATCCACACCGACTGCACTTTCGAAAAGAGTCGTATGTCAGATGCAGTACAATAACCTCCGCTGGTTAACACTGGCCAGGTCCCATCATTCTTTGGTGTTCAAAGATTGCCTTGAACTCTTCCATAGTCACCTTCAGTTAGGTTGCTATTCTGTTACTGAATCATTAACTGGAGTTTATTCTTTGAAATGTTTATTTATCTATCCATTGTGTGTCTACATACATCACCTTGGGAGGATTTACTCTGAAAGATGGGTTAGTGGATTGGGGAGTGAGCTTGGCTTGGACGGGAGATGGGAGGATTCTCTGGGATAAGAGAAGGTTGAGGCAGAAGTTTAGAATATCGGGCGGGTTAGGGTGAAGGGCCAATGTACACAGTCAGGAACATTTCTTGCTTTTCTTCATAATAAAGTAAACAGTCCCATGTTTTTAAGCTTTGAAGCCTATCCATGAAGAAAGTAACTGGGACGATGGAATTAGGGCTTTTAATTAAATACATGAATCAATGTGGCCAAAATAATAGCCAGATCTGCCTTCTGCAGAAACTCTGCTTTCACTTAGAAATGCCTATTCTAGCAGGTAAATCCCCAGGGAGGGTGGGTCAGAAAAAGTCAATTTGGCAGCCAGACTTGCCCCGTGGAAGCTCCTTTTTGGCATGCACTGATGCACTGACGAAAGTAGTGGGGTTTCCATCACACAGTTTTGGCTACCATCCTGACTTTTTTTACTCCTTTGGGAGATTTTTTTTTCCAGAATTTGCACCCATGCATCTGCTAGGTCTTTGCCTGACCTGCTTATGCGTGTTGTGTGAGCACAGGCAGAGAGTCGCAGCTGGTGTTACAACTGTGCAAAAGAACCCGATTATGGAAACTGTCTTACTATCCATGAACGAAGCCATCCAACACATTAGTAAACACATCCTCAGTGTACCACAAATGTAGAAGAAAAAAAATACTGCAAAATAAATGCATCCAATATTGTGTAGGTTAAATCCTACATTTGTGTGACTGTCTCACCCCAAGAGGGCTGTTCTGGGTGTGTAAACCACATGGTGGGTTTTTTTTTCTCCCTTGTGGAAGCCAATGCATGCATCTTAAAGGAGGGTGCTGAGACTGGAGATTGCCAAGGATGTGGATCTGAGCCACAGATTTTCAATTGTCCCAGGAAAATTAAAATAAGCATGGCAAAATCAAGGTTCATACTTTTTAGTTTTTCACACCCAGCTGCATATGGGGAGTAAGGATCATTAAAATCAAAGGGGCAGGCAAATTTTACCGAGTTCTCCCCTACCTTCAACACCAGTTTCAGTCCCTAAAGCATCAAAGGACAGCACCAGAACAAATTTGCTAGCATTTCCACTAAGTCGTTAATATAATCTTGTACACTCATGGTATTTACAATTTTAAAGGGAAAGCAAGAATTCCTTTGCCCTCAAGTAGATTTTGGTTAAATAGGGTTGGCATTGGGTTGGCATCAAAGTAAGGACACAGAAAAAACTTGGATATTGCTGAGAGGAATTAGATCTTTTTCCTCATCATCAACTTTGCCGCAATCTGTGTGCTTTTTAGGGCAAGATTTTTGGAAGTGGCTTGCCCTTGCCTCCTTCTTCTTCCTAGGGCTGAGAGAAAGGGACTGGCCCAAGGGCACCCAGCTGGCTTTGTGCCCAAGACGGGACTAGAACTCACAGTCTTCTGCTCTCTAGCCCAATGCCTTTAACCAGTATACCAAACAGGTTCTCAAGTAAGAATTAAGGGGAAAACATTACTTTGACACCAGTACAGCTAACAATGACTTGAGTCTGACTCAATGGGCAGTAGGATTTGCAATGCTGGGAAACTGGTGGAGGGGGGGAGGGAAAGGTGCGAGGAAGGAGCTGACAGACAGATCTTGCAGGGGATAGGGGACAAGCGCTCTCCTTGCCCTTCTCACTCTGAAAAGCCACTCCAAGATCTCTCTGCATTTTGCTTAGTTAAAACTTGGAATAGCCAAAACACTGAGGGCTTTGCATTTGCCAAATGGTCTGATCTGAAATGGTTTGCCCAAACTACTGAGGAGTGTTTTGGGTTCGAAACAGAACCTGTTTTCCATCTATTTGCACACCCCAACTTCTCTTCTCTTCTACCTTCTAGGTATTTCAAGGAACTTGTTATAACTGATTCTCTTTAGAGAGCAGATGAGTATAAAGCAGTCAGGAAATAGGTCTTCTCTGACCTTATACCCTTCCCTATTACACTTAAGGGAACTGGCAAAATCCGAAATGTGTCACATAACACCCCTAGAATAGGGGAGGGCCTTTGATCTTGTGGCCACCGCCGCTATCTTGGTTTTGTTGACCCTTTCCTATGGACACTTCTGCTCTCAAGGCACATTTTCTTTCTGAAGACTGTACAGCTTTCTCTTTCTCATCGTCATGGACCTACCTGTGGATTTCACGTAAAATCCACTTGGAGGATATCTTATGGAACATCAGTGAGGCTGCATATGAAGAATTGACAGAATTGATTTCACATTCCTATATAACATCTGAATCAAAGCGATCCAACTGCCTCATTCTCAACAAAAGCTTTTAAACAAACCCTGATGGAAAGACTTCAGGAGTTTAATTATGGTTCTCTGTTCTTTCCATCTGATCTCTAAAGAAGAGAAGTACAGTAATCATTCCTCAGCATGGAATGTCAGCTATTAGTTTCATATTATTATCCTTTTATTTTAAATTCTCAACCCGTGTGTGTGTGTGCGTGCGGGTGCAATTAAAAACCAGAAACAAACCCTATCCCAACGCTTTTATAGCAACTCTTCTGCTGTTATTTATGAGCCCAGCTTCCTCTCTCACAAAGAGACCTTTCGCAGGGCTCCCCCCTCCTGCTTCTCCAGCAGCTGCTCTGCTCTCAGTGCTGCATCCTGAGTGATGATGAGGTCCTGAAAGTGTTTTTTTGGAACAGATGGCTAGGAGAATGCTGGGGAATGTGCCAGCAAAGAGCTGGGGATGTGCCAAATCCTGCAGTGACTGAGTGCTTTTGGTTCCAGCTCGCGTGCCTTTCCCCTGCCCTCTGCCCCGACTGGCGCCAGCAGGACTTCCCAACTAGCACTCCGAACATCTGGAGTCTGCGACTGCCAGAAGAGCAAAGGGGAGGGGGGAGGAAAGCCCTCCCTGCTCCAGCTCAGCTTCCCTCTGCTCCACAATATTACTCACCAGCAAAATAACTAATCAAAACCAAAAAGGAGCGCACGCATGCACCCACACACCACATTAAGAAACTTGCAAGCTAACCAGCTACAGGTCAACAGCCTCCCCCAAC